GGAAACCCAATTTTTTATTAATTAAAATTTGCCCCCGACCTATTCCGATCGATTGACTAAGGCACTTGAGAACACCCCAAATTATAACTGGATTCAAGAAAGAGAATCCGAATTCAATCCTGTAGTCCTGAAAAATTAGGATTGAAGCTCTAATTTTAAATAATGTACTGCTATATCAACAAATTCTAAAAAACAACCTTTAGGGAAGATATGATAAAAAGTTTATTACAGATCAACTGATATTAATTGTTCTGCCTCGTGTAATTTCACCAAAATTACCAACTAGAATTACCGAGCCATTTTTAACAGTTATCTATGAAGAATTCATGCACTCGAGATTGCTTAATAAGTTGATAAAAAGCAAATATATATTCCTTAACAAATAATCCATTTGAAATTATTGTCTTCACGAAATTTTGCTTTAAATAGTAATTATCCTTAGCATTTAGTTCATGGTTGTACAATTACTATCAGCAATATCTGTATAATATAGTAGTTATTTGTGGCATAATTAAGAGTATTAGTATTAGTAAGTTAGACTCTATAGGTTAGACAATTCCGTTAATATTCATATGATTGACTCGATGACGGAATCGAGTCACTTAGATTATTTGAACTAAAGTCCTTTATTTGAGTTTATATATAATTAGGATATTTGAATCTGAGAATCTGACAACATTTATACTAAATCAACTCTAAAACTATAAATTTACGAATTTCATACAAGCACTACAAATAAAAACAGAAAGAAAAACAAAAATACAAGAAGACGAGCTACATTAATTGCATGGTGGCTATTTATCAAGTGATGTTTATTTTAGTATTTGTACTTTGATTTTTAGTTAAAATCAAATTGATTAATTAAAGAAATTCAGCATGATGTTCCTGCAAAATGGTATTCTTGTAAGGTGCGTCACTAATGCTTTTATATTTACAAGTACTATATATCACCGCAAGAAGTTAGCGTTTACTCTTCCGTATCATGAATAAAAGAAGTCAGCGTAGCGTTCTTGCAAAATGCATCTTCTTCTGGTGCTTTTCTAGCTTTACAATTTCATTATAAGCAAAATTCAAAGTCAGTGTGGTGTACATCTGCCAATGCCTTTCCTTCTTTCAACCCAAGGTTGTTACTAGCAAGATTCAAGAAGTCAGCGTAATGTTCTTGCAAAGCGCATCTGTCAATTCCTACTTCTAATTCAAGATCATTATAAGCAAGGTTCAATTAAGTCAGTGTAATATTCTTGCAAAGTGCTTTTCCCCTGCTGATCTAAAATCATTATGAGCAAGACTGAAGAAATTAATATGGAATTTTTGCAAAGTGCTCTTGCTAATGTTTTTCCTCCTTTTGATCCAAGATTATTAGCTTGAAAATTCAAATATTTTAGTGTGTTGTTCTTGCAAAGTGCATCTGCTAATGACTTTTCTCCTTATAATCCATGTTTATGATAATCAATATTCAAAGAAATTAGCGTAGTGTTCCTGCAAAGTGCGTCTGATCCAATAGTATTAGATGATGTCTAATTTTCATCACTTCCACATATTCAAAGAAGTTAACGTTGTTCTCGCAAAGTGCATCTGCTAATGCTTTTTTTCTTCTGGTCCAAGGTCATTACATCTAAGATTTAAAAAAGTCAACTTAGCGTTCCTATAAAGTGAATTTACCAATGCTTTTCCTCCTTCTGATCCAAGATTATTTTCTCTAAGATCAAAAGAAGTCAATGTGGAATACTTTAAAGTGATCTGCTAATGCTTTATCTCCTTCTAATCTAATTATAACTGAGATTCAAAGACGTCATCGTGTTGTTCTTGTAAAGTGCATTCGCTAATGTTTTCCCTGCTTCCGGTCTAGAATATTTATTACAATATTCAAAAAGTCAGCATGATGTTCTGGCAAATTACGTCTGCTAACGCTTTTCCTCCTTTACCATCAATCATATTCTTGCCAGGATCTAAAGATTTAGAACGGCATTCTTATAAAGAGCATCTATTAGTGTTTTTACTTCTTCATATACAAGAAATATCCAAGCCCCCAAAAGGTCAAAGTAGAATTTCATAAAGAATCTTTGTTAATACTTCTATTGAACATGAGGAAACGTCCAAATATAGATATGATTTTCATTCTCTGTTACACGGATCACTCATTGTATCGACCAGTCAAAATATCACTACTGGATTAGTCAACCAATCAAATTGCGAAATTTACAAAAAGACGAAACCATGGGATTCAAGGGGATTCAAAAAATATGTTGTAAAGTAAATGAGAGCTTCATGTTTGTTTAATCATTTTCAATATTCATAGAAAAGATAAGTCAGACGAACCTTCCAAAAAAGTATTGTAAAATAATATAAAAACAATTTTCATCAATTGTGTAACGATTTTGTGACGTATCAACGTTTCCTCCTGTTCTTCTATTGTCTTAGGGTTAAAATCACAGACAAGTAAATGCATAGATGTAAGAGCAATGTTCTCATAAAGTTTGTCAAATATTATTTGATTGCAAATAATTTCGTTAAGGTCTAAATTTATAAGATCTCCCAGTTCTTAGAATCATTGCAATCAAAGAACTTTCAACAGCAATTTCAAGCTCACGTCTTGATTCACGTTTTGATTCACGTCTTGTTTCATTTCTTACATCATTGCTTCAAATCTTTTGTAAAAAGCCCAATTTTTAATCCAATTTCCAACTCCATCATACAAATAATAGTCAATAGATGTTGTATATTCAAATAGTAATTTTGAATCTCCAAATTGTTCCTTTGGTTTGCTACACAATATTGACATAATAATTCTGCACCATGATTAGAATTGGATATACATGAATGATATCAAAATCATTCGATAAATCGCATGATATTACCGGTTTACAAGTGCACGTAAAAGTTTTTATAATTATGCCGGAAGCTATTGAAAATTTTATAGAACATTCATTTGATAATGTTAACATGAAAAAAAATTTAGTCAGACTTAAGATTTTTGATAATCAAAATAAAATTTGAGGTAGCGTTCCCACAAACAATTGTTCACCCTGTAAAGCCCGCTATGCTAGCATAGAAGGTTTCATTGGAGTTGTAAGACTCTATAGCCAAAAATAATAATTTATTCTCTTTTGTCTAAAAAAGTTAGCTTTGTAATAACTTGATTTTATCGGCTTTTGAGAAGTCATTACTATACTAGCCTTTTTAAACGGAAATTAATAAATTATTATTTTTGGCTATGGAGTCCTACAACTCTAATAAAAACTTCTATACGGCTTTTTTTATTTCATTATGTTTAGTTTTCGTTTTTTTAAAAACTACTCTAAACTGTATAAATATATAAAATTAAATTGAATTTATTAGCCAATCAGACGAACTTCTGCCTATGTGCGGCAGCTAGGGTTAATAAAGTTATCACCTCTGCACGGATTTCACCTTTCATATTATAATCACTAAACTGACTTGATTGCTAATTCATGTTGACAAGAGTCAACAGATCGAAAAGACAGGGAAGAATGGTTAATTGTTAAATGCCATGTGCTACAACCCTGCCTAATAGCATGGTTCGGGATTGAAAGTGACATCAAACCGCAGGAATTTCACATGAGCAATTCTTCAATGTGCGCCAGGTTTGTGGTCAGATTTCCTGAAATATGAATCAGATTTCAAGATCAGGCGTAATGGTAACACGATCAAGAAAATTCAAAAAAACGTCTGTTTTGTCAAAAATCTCTTACTTCTCAAAAATCTGCATAAGAAATCATCTTTAATGATCTAATAAAAAGTTTTCAGTGAGCAATTTTACATATAAACTATACCTCTCTGATTCTCAACCCTGACCCTAACCCTAACTTAATGAATTTTAAAGAATTTTTGGTGTACACATTGAAGAATTGCTTCATGTGAATGAAGTGACGTAGCTAAAAGCCATCGATCACAATCAGTATTTAAAGAAACGACAAATAACTTACGATTCTCTCTCAACACAACCAAGCATTACAACTGTTTCTTTTTTCTCGACCCAACGCTTCCCTCCTAGGGATGTAAAATTTCAGTAACTTTGTGTAAGATTGGTAAATTGAAATGTCATGTAATTATAATTTTGATCACTGACATTAGTTTCTGAGATCAAATTTTCAGCAATTTTATGAGTTACAATTCGGATCGTACATTCAAATAAAATGATGCAATGAAGCTGGCAGACTTTGCAGAAACTTTGATTTTTGTTAAATATATTTACAATATTGCTACAATATTGTTATAATATAATTACAATATTA